CTCTCTTCATATGATTAGCGAAAGTTCTGGTGCTTAGAGTGTGCCATATGATGATTATGCATATCGGAGACTGCATAAACGGTGACCTACTTTGAAAATACGGGCATCGGTTTGTTTGCCGAAATGTAGTTCAGTTTGTTATGTGTTTGTAAGAGAACTCCACGTCATCCTCTTGCCATTATGAGCTTCGCTACAACGATGGAAACAGCGACATGTATCTGGAGTGTCGTTCTTAATTTGTAATGTCCAGTGAGGTTTATTTTGTTATTTAAATTCTATGCCGTACTGAATTCTAACGATGTGGGTTCATGACCCTACACTCTCATGCATCTGGTACATGTTGAGTTAGCCTGTTTGTTGCCTCGCTGTCGAGAAGCTGTTGAATTTCGCATGAGGCGTGTTGCAAGTAAATGGAATTTTAACGATGAAGATATATAATATTTATCCGCATGAAATTACGCAGGTAAGTAAATACAGAGGGGCCAAAAATAAAATGTACACACTTTTCAACGTACAAAAATATTTGAGTGAATAATTTATTTTGTACATCTTCGGTTAAACTTTGGAAATATCCGTAGATAACCTCCATTAAAATGCTTTATAGAGGTTATCTATCGACATTTCCAAAGTTGAACTGAAGAGATACCAGCAAATCATTTAAGCAGATACTTTATGCGTTAAATTGTGTATACATTTTTGGGCTCCTATATATATATTAAAAACAATTTTAACGTACGCTTTGATAAAATTATCGTGTATTTATATGTAATCGCCCCGATTTTCAGCGTATTTGGTTCATCTATCCAGAAATTACATCATTTCATCAGCATAACATGTGTTTTGTTGTGGATTACGCCATTCTTGCACTGTGACTGATGTGGTATCACTACACGGTAGCATAGTTGGTTGAAGCACTATGCTACAAGCCGGAAGGTCACGGGTTCGAGTCCCGATTATGTGGATTTTTTTTAATTTACCCAATCCTTCCAGCCGCATTATGGCCCTGGGGTCGACCCATCCTCTAACAGAAATGCGTCTCAGGGATCTTCCGGGGGGAAAGAGCGGACGGCACGTAAGGCTGGTAAACTTACCGCCATCTGTCAGCCGGTTGCCTAGAGAAAATATGGGAGCCTCGTCGTCTCACAATTCTATGGGCCTTCACGGCCTGTAACAGGGACAGCTTTACCTTTTTTTACCTTTTTATACCTCCACATGAGGTAATGGTACCTGTGAAAAATCCTTTGGATAAAAAGTCTTGTGGTAGGCCTGTAGAATCAATTGAATTGAAATGTTTCGGTGTAGGAACCAATAGCAAGCTCTTGTGAAGATGGTACGTGTAAAATGCGACTGTTTAAATTCAAGAAATGCAGTGGTCAGCGTTGAAGCTAAAGCACGTGTCACGTAACTTCGAACAAAGCCAAGAGTAGCCTTGAATGCGCAGAAGAAAAATTTTCTGACAAGGGGGTGGGTTCGAGGGTGTGAGAAGTGACAGGCGGCACCCTCGAACCCACCCCCTTGTCAGAAATTTTTCTTCTGCGCGTTCAAGGTTACTCTTGGCCTTGTTCGAAGTTACGTGACACTTGCTTTACTTATGAATGCACAGTTTATTTAGCACAGAGACAATAATAATCTTAACATGTCCACTCCACTGGATATTCAGTTATTCTACTTCTCCCTTGTTCGTACATGTACACGAGGTTAGAATTTCGTTGGCTTGTTGCTGTTACTCTGCTTCCGGTCTCGTAATTCTTGGAACGGAAGTACAAGTCATTTTGCTACGCCCAATTTAAAGAGTAGTTGCATTAGCGAAAGGGGACTGTAAAGTAAAATTTATAGAAATCGACCATGAGCAGCTGAAACTAACTTTTATTTGTCAGACGGAAATGATGAGCGATTTTTCTTTGTTGTGATGAAGAAATGCTGCTTCAAAAATGGTAACCGTTTTTTTTTTCAGTCTGCACGCGAAATTTAGTTCTGTCTGGTTTTCGCACGAGGTGTTGCCTTTGTCTGCATATCGACACTGGAGAAAATCTTTCACACGTGTTTACTTTTGTTGTAATTATTATTATTGTTGTCTATAATGTAATTACTTGAATCTACACTGTGCTCTGTCTGTAATTGGCCTTACGGCCTTCGGAAGACATACTATTGAAGCTGCATTTCTTATTAACTTTTTCGAGAACAAAAGTTACTTTTATTCTGTTATGGATACTGTTGGTCTCCCTGTACACACTAAGCAAATTAGGGACTTTTCCACCTTTAACATCAGTAATGTCTCAAGACTTAGCCCTTCAGCAAGGGGTGTAACAACTGCAGAAACCTCTGAAAATCTCTGGACTTTTTCAATAAACATACTATAACGTGTTAGCGACTGTACACGGGGTCTGGATTAGTAATTTATTTTATTGAATATTTATAACTAGTAAGAATGGATAAAGTTGTTCCTGTGCTTAATTAATTAAGCAGTATGTCATTAAGACATAAGGGGGAGTGAAGGTATAGCTCCACCGTTCTTGGTCGCGGTATTAGATTGAGGAGAATGGTTAGCTTCACACCCTTACCGCTTTACCCCCGGGAAGGAACCAACGATACACATTGACTAGGAGGCTGAGTGGGCCACAGAGCACAAGGACAACTTAACCTTTACGTTGTAACTCGTAAGTACAAGCAATTATAACTCCATCGCTAACCTACGCACTTAACAATTCACTATAGCATAAACTGATTCTTCTCAGTTCGTCTCACTAGCCGTTGCTAGGTTACGGCTCAGCTTCCGTGTTCAACGGTTCGTGTCCTCGCTGGCTGACTAGTCCCACAGCTAACCCCTGACGGCAGTTCCCTCTCATCCCCGACTTTCATCCGTGTCACAATACGTACTCTCTCCCTTGGGCATACTTTTCCTTTTCTTAATTCTACTGTGTTCGTGGTTCCTCCTACGCCATCAGCGTCTTGCCTGTATTATTTGATTANTATTATTATTATTATTATTATTATTATTATTATTATTATTACTGAGCCGTGATAGCGTACTCGGTATAGCGACTGGTTACGGGCTGGACGACCGAGGGGTCGGAGTTCGACTCCCGGTATGGTCAAGACTTTTTCTCTTCACGTCTTCAAGACCGGCTGTGTGGTCCACCCAACCTCCTATCTAATGGATACTGGGGTCTTTTTCCCCAGGGGTAAAGCGGCCCGGGCGTGAAGCTGACAACTCATCTCCAGCTAATGTCGAGGTCAAGAAAATATCACTTCCCTATACGTCTTCATGGCAGTGCTTAATTAGTTGAGCACCGGGACAACCTTACCTTTTTTACTGTATTATTATCGATATTACTATTATTATATTTTTGTCTAATAGACCCAACCTCTCATTATTATGCTATTATCACTGCCATCAGTGGGTTTGCTCGTGTGGTCCGTATTACCAAGTTGGCTCAAGAGGTAACAGTTGTGGCTTTTATTCTGGAAGTCCACGGATGGTTCTGATCTCGGCATGGACACCGACGATCATGACAGGAATGTCGTGGTTTTATTCAGTTCCTCAAAACGGATACCGCGATAGTAGCTTACTCGTAAATTACGTGTCGCCCGCTTCGTCGAGCTTTCCGCTTCATTGTTTGCTACTATCAAGTTATTCTATTAGCGTAGTCTGAGTTTTTGTTATTAAATAAACTATAAATAAATAAAAAAATATTATAAGCATTTATCATTATTATTATTATCATCCTCACAATTGGAGTCGATATGGCGACGGGCTGGCCGGTCACGGTAGCCGAGCGGTCTAAGGCATGCACTGTCTTCGCTCGCTCAGAAGCCGGGATCGTGGGTTCGAATCCCACTCAGGGCATGGATGTTTGTGTGCGTTTTTCTGTGTTTGTCTACAGATAGAGGCCTTGCGACGAGCTGATCACTCGCCCAAGGAGTCCTACCGAATGTGTAAGATCTAGTAAACCGAAGTGAAACGGAGAGTTTCATGGAGGTAGGCCTAGGCCCAAATTGGGGCTGTTGCGCCACAGAAAAAAAAATGGCGACGGACTACCGGCTGGACGACCGGGATTCGAATCCAGGCAAGGGAACGATTTTTGTCTTCTCCACAGCGTCCAGACTCGCTCTGGGGCCAGCTCAACCTCCGACCCAGTGGGTACCGGGAATAATTTCCCCGGGGGTGAGGCAGCTGAGGCGTGAAACTATCACTCACCTTCATCTAGTGTCCAGATCAAAAATAATGGAGGTATACCTCCGCTTCCCCATATGTCTCAATGACATGATCCTTAATTATTTAAACACAGAGACAACTTCAGCTTCATTATCATCATAATTGTGATGTATTTTTATTGCTAGTTGGGCGGGACTAAGTCCCTTGTACTGCGGCCCTTTCTGGCCTATTGTACCAGCCCCAGATGATACGTGAGGGTGATTGTGGAGCAATTGGTGGAATGAAGATTGCCAGGGGAAACCCGAAGTACTCGGCGAAAACCTGCCTCAGCGCCGCTTTATCCACCACAAATCCCACTTGACCAGACCCGGGATGGAACCCGGGCCGCCGCGGTGGGAAGCCAGTGACTAACGGCTTGAGCTATGGCGAGGCCTTAATTGTGATGTAACTACCATTAGTATTGTCATTATTAGAATAATTTTGTTTTAATTATTATGACTATTGGTATTCCTGTTATAATGAAATAAGACGATGTTTGTGCCACATTAGATTGTACTGGTCTATACAGATGAAGTTATATGTGACAATATTTTCTGTTTCTTTTCTTCCCTTTCCTCGTGATCAAACTGTAATTAGTCATTAGTTGAACCAGCACGTTAATGACTAAAGAATTCAGTTTTAATACTATTATTAATGTAAAATTCGTAATTGATTCAGTTATATTTGTTTTGTCCTTGTTGTATTGGTTTTATTGTTTTATATTCTTGCTAATTGTCCCCAGGCTGTTGAGCTCAGCACGTAAATCAACAAAGAAGTGAAGTAACTGAGTTGTTATTCATTGCAGTCGCTGCTGACAGGCAGTGCTGGGGGCCGTGAGATGCACGCCATCAAGAAGGGCTTGCTGTGGCAACAGAGAGACCGCATCTTCTCACGATGGAAGGAACGCTATTTCATCCTTACGCGCGACTACCTACACTGCTTCAAGCGCTCATCGGGGTCCGGCGCTGATAAAATCTCAGAGATGGGACAGTTCATCTTCAAGGTAAAGCGATCCTGAACTTCGCAGCTCGGCTGCAACCTTTGTGATTGTGGTATGAAATCTGAACGGTGGTAAACGGTAGGATGATATTAAAATGTGTCATTAAAAAAACACATTATGATGGCGTGGACTGGATGTGTCAGGCTCAGAGTTTTGTGCAGGGGAGGGCTGTTATACAGGATCATCGGAAAAAATGCCGGGATTATAAAAAAACTGTAAAAAATATTGACATGATTCGAGCGTTAAATTGCTGAGAAATGTCTGAAGTTTCTGTTTTATCTTAGTACGTTTCGATATGTGCTGAGTTTGTCGCTCGGCAGATACTGAGTCTGTGTTCCTTCTCTTGCCAAGTCCGCTGTATCACGTCTGGAGTTACCGTTGCGATGGCCGCCGTAATCCTATCCCGTAAGTGTCGGAGATCTAGAATCTTTTCACAATACGCAATGTTCTTGACGAATCCCCATAAAGGAGTCCATTGGGGTAAGATCTGTGTTTCTGGGAGGCCGGAAATTTGATCCATCCCTCCCAATGCAGACCTTGCGCATAAGTTGTATCGATTGATCAACCGACAAAAGCATCACAACATCGCCCGGTACCCTCCATGAATTGAGCATATCCGAAACTTATGTTCTTTCTCTGCATTTTAAAATATGCATCATTTCTATATATTTAACAGTTGTTGAATGATATGTTTCGATGGCTCAGTAAGCGCGGCAGTGGATCTATAAGTTCTATTAAACGGCGTGAATTTCTTCATGAACTCAATGACTTCTTGCTTTTTACAAGAAGGATTCTGCTTTGTAGTTAGTCGTTTTTTTATTGCTAGTGGGTGGGACTAAGTCCCTGTACTGCGGCCACTTCTGGCCTATTGTACCATCCCCAGATGATAGGTGAGGGTGATTGTGGAGCAATTGGTGGAATGAAGATTGGCAGGGGAACCGAAATACTCGGAGAAAACATGTTCCAGCGCCAATTTGTCCACCACAAGTCCCACTTGACCAGCCCCGGGATCGAACCCGGGCCGCCGCGGTGGGAAGCCAGCGACTAACCGCTTGAGCTATGGCGCGGCCTAGTTAGTCGGTTAGTTGGTTGGTTAGCTGGGTAATCCGTTTGTTGTTCTCTTAAGGATTTGTGATAATTGTCTTCGGAATGTTCTCTTTGGATATCGCCCATAAACACACAAGGAATGAAAGCAAATTGCACACCATATGATGTGGTGGGGGGGAGGGGTATAACCGTTCTGATTGATGAAGAAGTTAGAAGTTGCTAAGTGACTTTTAATTGCGGGGAACATGTCTCCGTTTAAACGATCCTTATACTCGTATGTGTCGTTTTTAGCCTACTTTCAGTTCATGATGGAAGAAAGTAGGCTTGTGAGATCGCCAAACTGCGTGTGTGTTGTTTGTACGAATGCATATGCGAACGACAATATTAAAGGACGTATCCAACCTCGCTGAACGGTTAAAACTCGTACACCATATTTAGGAGGTCCTCAGTTCTAATCTAGACCCGAAGGCAGGCTACCTTGACACGGTATTTGCATGAACTTTCAATATAATTGCTGGGAATTTACTTTAATAATAGGTCACATCATCTTCTTTGCACATATTTATTATTAAAATTTTTAATCTTATCATTCGACACTTACTAATTATGCTATTAAAATACGAAACAGTAACCAATGGTAGAAAATAAATAAATTATCAGAAGAATAATACTTTTAAAACTGGAAGGGAGAAGGAAGAAAGTTAGACCAAGAATGAGATGGATGGACGTAAGGATGATGTGGACAAGGATATGGGAAACTGGATATGGTTAATTGGAAAACAAAGGCACAAGAAGAGCAGGCCAAGACCCACAAAGGGTTGTAGTGCCAATAATCATCATCATCATCATCATCAGAAATCTGTCAGACGGCAGGTCCACAGTCTCTTCCAAAATAGTTCCTCCACTTGATGCGACCTAGAGCTTTCTCCTTCAAATGACAGTATCCTCTTCTGTCCCCAAGGTCATCCAGCATCTTCTTACGTCTTCTGGTCACTTCTATCCGCCCCTCTATCTTTCCTTCAATAACTTCTTTTAGAAGGCAGTTTCTGCGTAAAACATGACCAATCCAATTAGCCTTCCGTTTTCTTATTTCGTGTAGGATATTCCTCTGCTCACTGACTCTAACTAACACTTCTTCATTTCTCACATAATCGGTCCAACTGATCTTCTCCATCCTTCTCCAACTCCACATTTCAAAACTTTCCAGTTGTTTCTGATCTACTGCCCTAAGTGTCCATGTTTCAGCCCCATACAGAGCTATGCTCCAAATGTAGCATTTCACTAGTTTCTTCCTATAATAATAATAATAATAAACTACCAACAGTAACTAGTAGGAGTTTTAACCGCTTCAACCCAACTTTCGCTCCTTTGTTTTAGAATACGTCCTTATGAAGGGAAAGAAAATCTGAAGAGATTGGAATTGAGAGGCATTCAACAGCTTCTCTTTGATGCTGATGATAATTTACCTGTCCATCCTGAAAGCATACGCATTCGGAAGAGATAAATCTTAGGCCTGCCAAAAAAATCGCAGGATGTTTGTATTATTCTTCTCCGAAGCGTTTCCAGTCGCGTTGATATAGCAGTAACGTCTTAGGTATGTACACCCCGGGCGCTCCGTCGAGCTTCCATGTGTCACGATAGGACCTTCAGTTATGGTTTTATTGTTTTATACCGTCGACTACTAGGATTAATGTGAGTTGTGAACAAAGACGGAGTGGCCCACTTTAAGCCATTGATCCAGTATTTTGGTGAGGAGAGTAAGAAGAATAGAGGAACATCATAAGACAGCGGGTCTCTAGGCCGAGGTTCGAAGGTGGGACTTCCTGAATACGAATCATGAAAGCTAGTTCGAGCGTAGTGTTAATTTTTGTACTTTAAAATACATCACAAATCCCATCCATGTCCATACCTTCTAATTACTCATGATACGTTTCGTTCAACACTATGCAGTCAGTGTGACTGAAACATTGTCGTGAAATAACATAGGAATAATAGGGAATTTCCTGTGTTTCTGAATGTTTCACTTCAATGAGCGCCCGCATTAATTTGTATCACTGAGCATTTTATGAATGGTATATTGTACAGTATTCTTTTAATATATTTCAAACCTCTTTTATGAAATATTAATTCAGTTTTAATTGCATTCTTGTGGAGCCACAGTAAATGTGATGTTTAGGTTTTACGCCATACACTGCTGGAATTCTGCCCCAAAGATTCAGATGGCAAGATATTTACATCTACAATAACGTCCCATGAAATGTCAGTGGATTGTAACTGAAATTATTTCTCTTGGCGTTGCTGCTGAATTAATTACAGTGGCTCTGAGCTGCAAGGCTGGACCACTCAAACAGTGTGACTGTGAAATCGAAATCCACTCGGAGCATAACGTATTCTGCGTTTCTCTTGCTGTATAGGTACAGAACTTATGATTGGCCGATACCCTGACCCCAAGGGATTCTACAGAATATGTAAAATTGTTTATAGTTTCAGAGATTAATTCTGAATTGGAAAAGATCAGGGAACACAGTCCGTCAAAGCTGAAAGAGTAGAATATTATGTATTTGGATCTGAGATCATAATACAAGTAAATTTACATTTTTAATTTCTAAATTTTATTCACTTTCTCGGTGTATTTATTTTTTAATTATAGTACAAAGTATGTAATGTAGAAACAGGTTTCTGTAGCAACTAAATACAGAGTTTTTTTTTTTTCAATGGCACTACAGCCCCAGTGGGCCTAGGCCTACCTCCATGAACTCCGTTCACTTCGGTTTTTCTAGATCTTACACATTCGGTAGGACTCCTTGGGCGGGTGATCAGCTCGTCGCAAGGCCTCTACCTGTAGACAAACACAGAAAAACGCACACAAACATCCATGCCCTGAGTGGGATTCGAACCCACGATCCCGGCTTCCGAGCGAGCGAAGACAGTGCATGCCTTAGACCGCTCGGCTACCGTGACCGGCAAATACACAGTTTACTTTGATTATTCAATTCAGTTTGATATATTTTTGTAAGGTCATCAGTTCGGGTAAGATTAAAATTTTGAATTTATTTTATAGTTTTGTAAGATGTGGAATTCTCAGCGTTAACTAGATCTAGAGCGTTTATTTAGAAGTGATAGTCGCTCAGCTGGTCAACAACTTCCCCTCCTTTTATTAACTCTGAAGTTCCATTGCCATGTTCACCAGAGCCCAGAGCCGTTTGAATCCAGTGCACAGCCTCACGCCCCAATTATTTGAAGTCCGTTTTCATAGTATCCTCCCATCTACGCCTATGTCAGCAGACTTTTCCTTTCAGGTATTCCGACTAAATTTCATATTCACTTCTGACATGGCATAGGCGTTCCACATTCCCCGCACATCTCATTGTTCTTGGTTTGATCACCCTAATGACATTGTATTTAGTGAGGGATGAAAAAAGAAAAGTAAAATTGCCCCTCTGCTTGACTAATTAAGCACTACCCCATGAGGGCATATAGGGGATGGATATATAGATCCACATTGTTTTTTTTTACTTCTGCACTAGCTGGAGGTGAGTGGTCAACTTCACGCCCCGGCCGCTTTACCCCCTGGCGCCCCCGGTACCCATTGTACCCATGCGTGCTGCATGCCCTGCCAATCTCATCCTTCCTGACTCGATAATTCTAATTATACTTGGAGAAGAGTACAAGTTATGAAGCTCCTCATTATGCAGTTTACTCCAGCCTCCCATCACCTCACCCCTCTTCAGTCCATGTATTCTCCTCAGCACCCCCCACAGCAGTAGTTATGAAGAGTTCTGTCTTCTGGGATATAACACCGTGTGGTTCGTTGAAAGTCAACTGACGTTTCGGAGAAACATGTAACCTCCATCTTCAGGATTGAACAGTAAGCCAAGAAAGCAGCAAGAAGTGCACGTGGCTTGTCCCCTCTTGGCTCGCGTCGATTCTCTAACCATTGGGAACTGACGGCTGAC